AGGACGTACTATCATGACAGTCACACATTGACTACTGAGCGAACTAAATTTCCCGCAGCACTGATTGGACAAGCAATGTCATGTGATCATGTCCAGCCAGTAATGGCCAAGCGGGCGTGTCATGACTAAATGACATGTTGAGTCGGGTATGTCTTAACCTTCATGGCAGAGGCTCCGTCGAACCCCTGAGACCGGTTCACCGAACCCCTCAGGTCTAATCGAACCCAGGTTAAGAACCACTGCTCTGTACCTTGAAACAAACAAAACGTGCAAAAGTCATTTAATTGTCCGCGGTGCAAAGCAACGTGGCGCTTTTCCCCGCAGCTGGTCTACGGAGGTGTCGTGTTCAAGGACAGCATAGAAAACAACATCAGGCAACACGACTGAATGAAGAGTGTGGGTGTATGCTAAAAGGATATTCTTCCTAAGTATGTTATCCGGTTGACAGATTTCTTACTATTAAGAGATAGACACGTTGGGGAAAATGGCAGCAGTATGGAAAGGTCTTGAAAAGAGAACATACAGCGGACAGTATACACGCGGTACGATATATGGGTCAGCGCAGCAGCAGTAGTTAAGGCAGCTACCCACATCAAACACGGATCTATTTTGGGCTTTTAATTAGGAGATGATACACACCAAGCAGAAGCTTCAAGATGCCGTCGAAAGACAGACACAAAATGTGCTACGCTGCATTAACATATCTCAAGATAACATTTGGAAATCTCAAGCATACATCAGCAAACCGCGACCAAAGATCAATTTAAAACAAAGATCAGCGTTGTTAATCAATCGATCAAATATTGTGATACGTTTGCCCAGAAATAGTTTCTCGCCAAAAGACATTTATGGGCGGCTTGTTGTCTTCACTCGAATGAGTTTCCGTTTCCTTAAAAGCAAAGTCACCGGCGATGAATTTGGAAGTCATAATGAATAAGTAAGGAGACAAGAAAATGCCTTGACAGGCGTGACAGATTGAGTGAGTTTCGCGCCGAGTTCATCTTCGGCGAAGAAAAAGAGACGCACGAAGCGGAACCTCAAATAGCCCTTAATTCAACTTTCAAAAAGTCATTACCACAGTGGATGATGATTATGACGACTTTTCCCGATGATAAAACACAAATCAGTCAAACGTTACGAGAGTTCTTTCTCTTCGCGTTTCACGCCATTCCGCATAATGTTTTAATGAGGCGTTTAGGGGGTCCAAGAGTGATCTACGGAGAAGGTCTACATTGGCAATCAGCAGAGGGTGCGGCAGCTGTTCGGCAATTAAAAAGCCAAATTACCCTCAATCAACGCCATTTACGAGCGCAAGTAAATCTCGCGGCAAATAATGATGAGAGAGATCTGTTCAGACAGCTCTCATCTTGATAGAAATGAGAGACGCATCCAAACCCGGAGCGTGGCGCGATCTTAAACGCCGCCGCACACACACACACACACACACACACACACACACACACAGACTTCACCTTGTCCATGTTTTTTTTTTTTTTTTACAGGCATGAACACGTGATGCATTAGCTGGATCTCCATGTCGCAACAAGATGAACGGCAATGACTCCTTTTTCCGTGTTCGTCATACAGTGGGGTTATAGACCCCTTTTTGTGACCACATTACATCAACACATCCAGCACGTGAGGAGGGGGGCGGGGCAACCAAGCAGCGCCACGAATGACACGTCACCCGAATACACCAGGGGGAAAGGGAGACAGTAAATTGCTTCTATTTGATGGGAATGGGGACCAAACCCGACCAGCAAATGTGAACAAATATGAGGAATTGATGCCCCCCTACCAAAAACAAAAAACATAGACTGACATCCATCCCCAAAGCTGAGTTGCCCGGATTGCCAGCCCATTCAGAGCATTTGGATTCATCTTTCAGTGAGATTATAAACAGCGAACCTATTAAAAGAAAGCTCAACCAAATTCTAGACTCTCTTCTTTCACCAGAAAAAAAGTTTGTCTCTGACTTTCTTCGTAATCAGCAGTCGGACACGGATTGGTTTCACCCAGAACAATTTTGGATTATAGTGCCTTTCATGGTACAATACTCATTTATTTACGGATACAGAACTAAGAAACGTACGGTGTGCGATGCGACACTGAGTCGGTGTGCGGACTGGCATCTTGTGGCTCACGTTGTAGCTTTTTTTTTTTTTTTTACATGCCGCTCATCATTGACTCATTGAACTTCAGCGCATCTTTATCTGACGATCGCGACACACTTTCTTCCACCAACTGAGGCACATACTTTGTATACCATACATGTACATTATTCTGAGGGTGAGCTGCCTAAACATATCCGATTTCCGACTCGTTGGCTTTTCACTCCCTCATAATCGACGTGACGAGCTGCAATTCACCGCCTTATCTTTATCATCTACTCAAAAGATGTGCTGACCTCGAATCAAAAGCAATGCGACATTGCCACCTAAAGGGATCTGTTAGTCATTCCAGAGGTTTAGATCAGTGGATGTCATTAATGTTTGTCAACTGTGGGCTTGTGAAGCCCTTTGAGACTCTTTTGTGATGAAGGACTGTACAAATAAACTTGACTTGGTTTACCAACATGAATTTTACAGACCCTCTTCCAAGCCTTACCCATTGACAATCATACCGAACGTAAATATACGTCTGTGGCAGTAAACAGTTGGATTCCAGTTGTCAAATACAAAGGTCCACGGCAAGGAATGAGTTAATAGTTTAAATCATAAGTATACCGCAAAATACGATTCCGAAACACCTGATTATAAAGGCAAACTCATCTTACATCAAAATAAATATAAACGTCTGAGAGATTGTTTGATTTCAGAAGTTGTCTGATTTCCAATAACAACCCAAGCTCCTCCCTGACATACGAATTTAGTCTATCAGTCGAAATGGATCACGTAACAATATTGCACCAATTTGTACGTCCTAAATTGGCCATGGTACTCAGGAGTTATGATACAAACTTTAGCTAGCTGAGTACTCAGTAGTCCTTACATTGCTGCAATAGTAGTAAACAGTTTTTACACATTATTAGAGGAGTACTTAATAGCAGTTACTATGTAACTACTACAAGTACGACAGAATTATTACAAATTACAATACATACTTCATTATTACTCAATAGCCGTTATGACTGTATGTTACTGAGCAAGTACTCACTACTCAAAAACGCATTAATCATGCATGTCATTACTGTGTTACTATACAAATATTAAGCAGCTCTTACAGTTCATACACACTTCAGCACAGGTATTCTGTCGTTATGAATACATTATACACAAGTTGTAAGTAGTCATTACTATGTTACTGCACAAGGCCTCTGAAATTGTAAGATACTTAAGTAATCATTAGTTACTACATATTATTGCACGAGTACTCAATTTCCATTAACAACCATTTGCATTTAGTGGTTGTCATAGTATTAACTTTTAATTTCTGCACGAACACCCAGAAATCATTACCACACTATAGCATGAGTACAGAGTTGTCATTATCACACTGCTGTATTGAGCAAGTAATAAGCCAGTCAGTACAAAGTTATTCTCACAGTCATTATATTATTAGGCTTCAAAGATCAAGTTCACATGAGGCACCGAGCACAAGTACGGCTGAGTCATTGGCATGCTGTGGACAAGTCCTCTGTGCCACTGGGGGAAAAAAATCTTTTGGATTTGCTTATTTTGAACATGGTTCAAATGTAGTAAACTATTTTCCTCAATAATAAACACATAATTGAAAATGAAGTACTTTTTTTCATCGTTGATTACACTGTGGCACAATCACCCACTACCGGGTCATCACTATGATGTCCTGATTGCAAAAGTACTCGCTCGTCGGCTGTGGGACCAACTTTCAGTTGCTGTTATCGCGCTAGTACCCATTTACAATTTCCATGCTATTAACAATTGCTCCATGATATGACTAGTCAATAGGCATGACTATGTGTTATTTACTAATATTGCACATGGACTGTAGAGTCAGTATAATACAGTAATGCCCACTCGACATTACAGTTCCCAGTGGCCATTTACCACACAGGTGCACGAGTGGTCATTATGACACTTTACATTACTACACAAGTACTCATGCTATTGTACAAGTACACAGTGGTCACTATAGTGTGAGTACTGTATATAATTAGTCCTTATTATGCAGTTATTACTATGTTACTACACAAGTACAAGTTATTAATATGCTATTAAAAGAAGCCATGACTGTCTTCCAACCTACATAAGCAATCTAAGAATTCTGTACTCACCCAGAAAACCGACACAACTATCAGGCGTTCATTTTGCCACACCTGCCAAAATGTACAAAGCACCTCTGGCAATGTTGGCCCAGTGGGTGTATTGCTGACCACACTTTGCATGCTGACACTCGAAAAACAGACTCACACGGGGAAAATCAATAGCAACCACCTGCTGCCATTGCTTGAACCGAAGAATTTTGTCTAATGACTCTAAAATTACTTATGATTCTCAACAACAATGGCATGCTAAAGTATTACATAAACCCGAATTTGCAGGTTAACATGTAAATCATAAGCACATTGTGGAAAAGTGATTCAGACCTTTCTGTTGTAACTTTTCCTCGGATACATTTGCAAAGGTCACGTCTACCAAACGTGCTTGGTGTCATGAAAAAAAGAAGCAGTCGCCTCGAAGCACACATCACCATGCAGGTTGTGCTCACACGCACGCAAGACAGTTGCGACCGTTCACTTCAATTCGCCACATGGACAATTGTTTCAATAAGCAGACCTGCAAGGGCATCGGTCACACAGTCGAGATTCTGCAAGGTTACGACAGCAAGCTTCTAGAAGTTTACTTTACCAGGAATATATTTTTGGGGGGGGTTCAAAGAATGACACAATGATTTGCATGCGTGCATGTACGTTGTGGCATGTCATTTGCTCAAACCTCGCCGCATTCCCGATACGCCGAAATCGGAAATGATCTTGACTTGTCACCTGACAATTCCAGTTGGCAACGAAGATAACTCACCGTGATGAGTGCACACGAACCGGGTTTTAATTTTTGCACGCCGGCTCGGAAGCTCCAGACTGTGGCTGTCCTGCACTTCCCAACGTGACTCGACGACAAAAGCTCCCGGTTGGCGTCTGCTTCCTGTCACCACCGGGGCCGCATGCCGAGTGCTCGTCAGGCGTGTCACTCGCCGCTGCTGTGGTCATCCGACTGTCAAGACGAACGCCTCGGCCCGACGTCGGCGTCTGACTCGAGTCGGTTGGTGAGACCCGAAGGGACCCGCTCTCCTGACTTCACTCCGCCGTTAATTCACCGGAACTACTTGCAACGCCAGCCGAAGCACGGATCGGATGAATTCATACACCGCCGTCGGAAAGATGATAGCACATCAAAGTATCTAGTCCCTCATATTCCTGAAGTGATTCACACATTTGTAATAATAATAATGATAATAATAATAATAATAATAATAATAATAATAATAATAATAATGATAATAATAACA